CGATGGCGTGAAAGTCGCTGAAATTCTTGTAGATCAATTTCATCATTCACAAATGCATTTTTGGCAGAAACTAAATGAATATCATGTTGAACATCTTGTTTTCTCCTTTTTCATACATTGTAATACATGGTAATATTTGACCATGTAATGTAGGAATAATTCCTTAGATAATTAATATAGATACATCATATACCTAATTTCATTAGTACACTGTACTCTTGCACAATTGCACGTTTCAACGCACGTGTCAAAATTGTATCTCAGTTGAGAAACGAATATTTTCGCAGAAATATTGCTTTCTCAACTGAGATACTTGATTAAAACATGGATTGTATCTCAGTTGAGAATATAATTTGTATCTCAGTTGAGTCCAAACCATCAATTCTTTTAGATTATCTTAATTAATTATATTAATATTGATTAGTATATATTTGATTAAAAAAAATGAATAGTTATAAAATGAGTAGAATGATAGAAAATAAACGGGATGAAACGAGAGACTACCTCTCATTTATCGATTATAATAAACATCAAGTTTAATTTGATATGACAATCTAGACTAAAGTAAGTTAATGATCAATTATTATGTTGTTATTTTAAGTATCACAAGTGACATTGTAACAGTAAGAAACGAAGTGTAACAACAACAGAAACGATTTATTTATTTATTTACTATCTAATTAATTAGAAAAGACGTTTCGTCAAATACAGTTGTTATTTTAAAGATAAAATTGAGGAGAGAAATATTACATACACCGAGAGATTATGGTTCTCATTTCATGTCGAATAAAAAGAGAGTTTTTAAAATCAAGTAAATGAGTATTTTATTGTGATTCGTTTACCTCTGTTGAATGAATCTCACAATTCTTTCGCTCTACTTTTACTCAGCATAAAGTACAGCCATCAACACATTAGAAGACCCGGGATCTTCTATTCTGTTCTATCGTTCACAAATTTCAGGGAACTCTTTTATTGCGCCTCTCAGAGAAGTCATAGTTTTTGATATCCTCAGAAATAAAATGTATAGCAGTTTTTGATGATGATGATGATGTGGTGCATGTGAATATTACTTTTTAACTAGATCTTCTATTCACAACTATCGGAAGAGGACTGATCGTGTTTCACTACAATCTTTTTAAAATTATTTTCTTACCTGAACATCAAATAACTGCTGATAAAATATTGTATCATTTTTAAAATAATTAATTGCTGATTCTAAACATTTATATTCATCTTTTAACGGTAGTTTTGCTATTTTCAATAATTCAGTTCTTGTTTGTTGATTTTCCATAATTGCTCCAAATAATTGAGCAAAAAATAAAGGACTTTCAGGTTTTGAACAAGAAAAACTCATCCATTCAAAACATGTAATTACAAATGCACCAAAAGCAGATAAAAGCACTGCTAATACGGCACATAAACGTGTTTCATGATAAGATAACGAGAAAAATGTTCTTGATCGTTGTATAGATAATACTGCTAATAAAATTGTTGATACACGTGTCCACAAAACTTTATATAATAACCATTCGATACATATTCGTCTTGCAATATTAAATATATAATCTGATATCGTTTTAATTACTGATCGATTAAGAAAACATAAATTTCCATTTAACATTTGTTTTTCACGTTCTAACATTTCAAAATAGCCAATCATAAGTGTAATTGAATCAGATACTAATAATGCAATAAAATAGATAGCAATCGGTTTATTAATAAATGTTTTTGAAAAAAAAACGATAATACACAATAAATTACTAAATAGACCGAATACATGAATTAGGGGCATAAAAAAACACCAAACAATTGCTTGTAGTGTAGTCCCATTCTGAAGTATTGGTGTTGCTGTTAATGCGGTAGAATTAATCATTGAATGATAGACTTTTGTTTTGATAATTTAACTATTCAATAAGTGGAATAGTGTAAGCAAATACAAGAAAAGTAATTGGTATATATCATTGGTAAAATTTGATATTCTTGTGCTTCATTTTCTCTACAGTACAAAGAAAAGATTATCTTTTTGTTTGAACATTTCTGTTGAATATTAGACTATACATAATAACGAAACAGAAATAAAGAATAAAAAGAGAAACTGCATTTCGAGCATTTAATGTAGGTTGATAGATCACATTTATCTAACTAAGCACTTAGAAACTCCATTCTATAGAAAAAAATCGTCTAGTGGAAAAAGATATTCCTTCAGCACTAATTATCATCCGCCGTGTAATAAAATGTATATTTTCATGCATTTTAAATAATGAAATTCATTGTAATGATGCTCTGAACTACAAAAAACAAAAATAGATAGCACCAAATGCTTTAGGATGTATCTACCGTATATCATGCAAGATATTACACCACCTCTAACTCCTACAAACATAAAGTTAAGTACTTTTCTATTAAGAATTTAATCTGATTCAGCGATCTTTAATATTATAATTGAATTTTATGTTTTGTTTTAAACTTTAATTCTCATCTCTTCAGTCAAATAGTCACTGAAATTCGGTGTACCCATTGTATCTATGTTCAGAGGTATCGAGACAATGAACATGAGATAATTTGTCTAAGACGATCATCGCTGCTGGAATTTCAACTCAGTACTTTGTCGTGTGTTGTCAGCTAAGTAAGTCACACTGTATATACTAAAATGTCATCACTTACAACTCTCATCGTTCATAATTCTGTAATCACGACGTCTTAACTGTCAATAACATATTATTGAAAATGGAATGAATTATTTGAGAGTACTGAATAATCTATAATCACATCACTCACACACAGAAACTGTCTACGACAAACAAACATTTTTCTTATTAAACTTCGCTGACGACATAATGATCTGTCTTTACATTACATAATCGAATAAATTTTCTTACTTCCTGAATGTTCAAATATGAAAATAAATATGTTCTTAGAGTGGTATCTAGATGCAATTATTTCCGTTGAATTTTCTCTTTTTTGTTTGTGTATAGTAGTAGGATTTAACGATTTTAAATATGTCGTATGAAAAATTATTTCTCTTTAAAAATAACATGTGATATTTCATTCACGTGTTATTTAAAAAAATGAGAATTTTGTTGTTGTTTTTTTGACGATATTAATATTGAAAGAACAACGAAGTAAAGAAAAAAGTCAAGAATTTCCTACTAATTATCTAGTGGTTTATGGTTTGTACTTAACGGAAATAAAAAAAAGATGACGAAATATCCGGTGTTCATGATGTTTTTGCGAAAACAGTGTTAATGGTATCTGAAACTAATCTTTTCCTCTTTATAAATTATATACAATTAATGATAGAACATGCACCCTGGTTTACGATAGATGTTTATATATAATAATACAGAATGAATATTTTAACTAAAAGAGATTTAGCATAACGCTCGGTTTTTTTTTCAAACTATATTACTTTTGACAGTTAAGTCCATATATATAGATCATTTTAGTACTTCTCATTGCAATTAGAGTTAATTGAAGAAATCCTTCTTTTAATCCTTTTTCTTTTACGTCTAAGAAACATCTTCCACTCATTAGGTTTTGTTACTTTAAAATCTGATAAGGTAAACTGCACATTCTAGAGTTAAAAATGATTAATATAATAACATAATCATTCAACGAATGACTATACCAGCTAATTCTGATAATTTATCGACGATCAACATCTCTCGATATCTTAGCAGAGTAGAGATGATACTAAAGGATATTAAAAACACATTATTGATGACAGAAAATACTTCTAGAGACGAGAAAAAAGGCATTAAATATGACATTGTCGAAACACAATGAATATTTGTTCTAGGCATACTATCGAAAAATATTACTGACTTGATGCTGCTGTTATTGTTATTGAAAAAATATCTTCATGGATTTGTGAAGAAAGAAAATAGCTGTAGTTATTTATGTTAATTTATTCACCTATGAATGATATGTAGGCCACTCTTATACGTCATTCATTTCATCTTATTCGTAATTAGACCTAAACGGAAAACTGAACTTTTGACATAGGAGAAAATCCTTAATCTTTTTTCTTTGAAGTATCTTCTTTAGAAAAATGTATTCAATCTTATCTTTTTAAAATATGGTGCTAGAAAATACGTTTCTTTCTCTATATGTGAATTGCAATCTTAGTAAATCTTCGAAAACTGGATCTCTGTCAGATTATTATGAACTTTTGATTGAATACGTAATGATACTGCCAAATTGTAGAATACCTCCGGTTTTGCATTTAATTAACACTTCAAAGTTTTATAACTTATAAAAGAAAACTTTTTCTACATAAATAACTTGATGTATTCTACACTACAATTTGGCAGTATCAGTATGTGTCCAATTGAAAGCTCATAATGGTCTGGGAGGGACACAGTTCCTGTAGTTTTATCAAAAATAAGATCTACAAGGACAAACGAGTATCCGGTTCGTCGTCAATACTAAACATTATCTATAATAAGAATGTTCCGAGAAAAAAGCGATTTGATACATCGTCAGCTAGTTTTAATTAATTTTCTTTTTACTCATTTACAAACGCATAGATATGGAAAGATTCAGTACAGAGAAAATAATTTCCTTTTTACCTATGAAAAAATTAACCTTTCAGGATCAGAAAGTTTACAATAAATTTGTGCTTTCTCGATTTTCTTTCGTTCGTCGAGAGAACCTGGTAATGTGTAAGACATAAATCTGATGAGACATCCTATCAGCAACTCTTAAAATAACCCTAGGTGAACGAGTAGATCTGCTTTTGCTACGATAATAGATACATCAACCATTATATAAATGTTTTTCATTTTTGAAGATTATTTTTTTAACTACTACAGCACTGCTGTGGGGGGAAAAGAAATACATTTTCACTTTCCATCATACCTTCTTTATTGCTCGATCTGGTCGAAGAAACGTGCTATTAAATGTGGTGATAGATAGTATATTTTTTTACACATGAATGTAAAAATCTTCTGAAAATCTTTAGCCAGTTTTGAACCAGATCCAAAATGCTGAAAGTTCTGTGAAATTATCTCTTTTTCCTTCTAGTGGGAGAGGGGAGGAAGGAACACCTCATGCAAATACATGGAGTTTCAAAGACAAACCTCTAGTGTCTCTCACAAGTCGAGTTGGATACTATACCAAATGGCGAAGTTATTCAGAATGCTGAACTCTACAACATATGTGAAAATTAGCTCACTATTCCACTGTATAAGTTTTAATATTCACTTAGTAATACAGTTAGAACATATTTTATTTTAATAATTAATTAGGTTAATTATAGTCAAACAATTGTAATAAACCGTTCTGTTCATGTTATCGGCCCGAATCTCTTCTAGAGAATGCAAAAGCAGCCAACTGAAAACGGTCACATATAGTCAAGATAATTTGAAATTATTCGCTATATGTCCTATTTGAAAATGTCAAATACAATAGGATATCAACGGACGACTTTCAAGATTTCATATTTCGACAATTATCCAACTATTCATATGTTCTTCCCAGCCCTCTCAAAAGAGATACATTTTTTGCAAACTCACACTCAGGTTTGCATGTCCCCCTCTGATGTTGAATGATCTTGTAAAATCAATTAGGACAACTCTGTATCTCTTTTTGAGAAGTTTCGGTTCTAAAAGTTGCATTTTCAAACTGAATGATTGCTGATAGTCAAATGAAAGTACACTAATCAGTATTAATAAAACATAAGCACTTAGGTAATATTTTCACTCATAACTTCTAAGATGCCTCGATCATACATGAAGAAAAATAGTAGACAATAGTATTATTTGCATTCAGTCTCTATTGTTGTCGATAATCCAAGCAAAAGAAAAAATCGATAAGCTAGCTCAACCTAGGTAACGCGTTACATTTAGCTAGAGCTAGCTAAATGTAACGCTTTACCTAGGTTGAGCTAGCTTATCGATTTTTTCTTTTGCTTGGGAAGTTGACTTCGCATTGTATTCTAGATAGTTAAATAATTATCAAAATATGAAATCTTGAAAGTCGTCCGTTGATATCCTATTGTATTTGACATTTTCAAATAGGACATATAGCGAATAATAACGAATTATCTTGACTATATGTGACCGTTTTCAATTGGCTGCTTTTGCATTCTGCTGTGCCACGTACTTTGTGTTTAACACACGTACTTGTGTTTTCTAAGTGCTCATTCATACCAATAAACTGCCTTATATTGTTTATAAGTGAATTATAACTTGCTGTACCTTTTAAAACGTATAAAAGCCACGTTCATACAATACATTTTAACTTAGTTTAATCCTAATCTTTCCAATTTTATTCTGTGTGAATGCACTCAGTTTGTTAACTTACGAGGGAAGTACCCCAACTGATAAATCACTTTTTCAACGAAACCGAGTGGACTATAGGTAGTCGACGATGCTGATTCCGAATATCACCATGAATGCTGCTGCTAGGCCTTCAAAGATCGGTCTTCT